TAGATAGATAGATAGATAGATAGATAGATAGATAGATAGATAGATAGATAGATAGATAGATAGATAGATAGATAGATAGATAGATAGATAGATAGGGGTGTCAAACTCCAGTCCATGAAGGCCAGCATCCTGCTTGTTTTTGAGATGTGTGTGCTTGCCAATAAAAAGCTACAAGGGCAGGTTAGTTGGAAGACAAGCAGGACAGCGGCCCTTGAGGCCTGGAGTTTGACACAGTGTTAAATTGCTGTGTTACAGAAAATAATCATGATTGTTAAAGAATAAAAATAGAAATAGTGACTTTAAAAACACATACAACCAATAATATGTATAATTTTATTTATAAGAATGATAAAATAAAATAATAAAATGTAAGACTGAAAAGAGAACTGTACGTATGGTACGTATGACCTTCATAGCAATCAGTATTAATACATAACATATAATCTATTAAAAAATGACATGTATGAATCTTGTATTCATTCAAAATATTAATTTTATATTCATACCATGGCAATATTAGAAATAGCAACAACTAGGGCGCTCAAATGTGTTAAAAAACCCAAAGTGATTTGTGACCCGGATGTGTGACGTCATATTTGAGGGACCGCGCTGTCTGAGGACATGACAGTTAAGTAACCGGTGTGTGTTTCACAAACTCCCCCTGATCAAGCTGTGCCTCCGTTTTCACAATGTTGGCTTGTAGTCGCAGTTTGAACAGCGCTGTGGTGTCTGCACTCCGTCTTCTGCGCAGTAATCAGGTTAAAACACCTTTAGCAGTACCAGCAGTGCATTTCAGAGGGTCAAGCTTTAGCTTAATGCTAGCCGCCAGTTTGCAGAAACTGTCTGCTGAACTTAAACTCATCTCCTCCTCCTCAGACTGCCGTCACTGGACAGCTGGAAAGACCTCTGTCCACGCAAACCGACGGAGAGGTCCGCATCACAAAGATACTGAAGGAGAAGTTCCCTTCAGCCTCGTCACTCAAAGTTGTGGATATATCAGGTAAACACTTAAATCCGCGGAAATGATCCTGATCCGCCTAAGATGTTATCCGGGACGGGAGCACGGCTTAACACGTGGGAAATTAAGCTACACAACTTTTGGTTCTTACACAGTGGGGACCGTGTCAGACCTTCTTGAGTAAATTTTTAAGAATTCATCTACTGTGCAGCTGCCACATGAGGAATTACTGACAGGCAGTGACATACATCACCCAGATTGACAGGATTACATGTTTTTCCTCTCTTTGCTTATTAGCATCACCCTTATTTCCTTTTATTGTAAGGAACCGCTCTGCCCGATCTGCTCCTTTTAACTCTGGTTGGCGGTATTTGATTTGTTAATTTTGTGTAAAAGTGTCAAATAACTTTTCTGTTATTTGCACATACACAGTGGATAAATACTTTCCCCTGGTTTATATCACGTGATACCCATTATCACTGATTTTTAAGCTTTTTGAGTCAACTAACTCAAAAGACCCTCAGAGGGATGCATTCCAATGCAGGATTAAAGGATTTGTGAGCTTAACGTTTTCAATCTTAAAGATGCTATTTTTTTAATTATATTTTATTTTTATTTTTTTTGGTTATTCTTTTTGCCTGGTCCTACTCTGCTGCTAAGTCTGTTTTAAATTGATGGATGGCAAATAACATCCAACTGATTAGAGTATTTGTAGCCCATTTAATACCAAGAACAATCAGTCAGTAAAATTAACTTCACCTTGATCTGGTCACCCACCTATTAATACCCTCTTCATTAGGCTGCGAGACAATGTCAGACTTGATTACATTGATTATCCTTTGATGTGTGTATCATTTTTTAACTACACACAGAGCACATGGAGTTATAAAATCAATATATCAAGTCAAAATTCACAAAAATAATTGGTTTTCTGTGGTATTATTCTCAACTTCTTCGTAGCAATAATGTGGCCCTTTTCTGATACCTTGTTTTTTATTGTTGTTTTGTTTATCAACCACTCAAAAAGGCTTAAAGACTCAAATGATGCAGCAGACACCACTTTTTAGATGTCTTGGAGTAAAAAGCCCAGGTTAAGTCTTTAACTGCCTTCATGATACTCACCCACTTCATGTGGTTTTAGGTTTGCAGAATCGGCTAATGCAAAGAAATCCCAACTATTTTGAATTTGCCTGGTAGGACATGTAGGTCTTCCCTGAAGCCGTGCATTTGAACTGAGGAAAACTCTGAAAGCCAAGGAAGCAAACAAACAAGCAAAGCAAGTCATAAGATTCTGTTTCTGTGTTTCTGTGCTGTTATTAGGTGGCTGTGGGGCCATGTATGAGATCCACATAGAATCCAGTGAGTTTAAAGGAAAAAGGACTGTTCAGCAACACCAGTTAGTCAATCAGGTAAACCCCTAGAAACCTTGTCTAAACTGATGTATTAAATCTAAAATTGTTGATGTTTTATTTAGTCTGTGTTGAACCTTGTATGTGCTTGTTATTTGTTTTTTTTAAAGATGACATGAAACGCTACACATATAAAGGATAATTTACATCATGGAGCCCTGCTCTCAAAAACTGACATAGAATTAACTCTGTCTGTGAAGCTGGATTAAATATGTTTAGCACCATCTTCTGTTAGTATGGAACGTGATGTCACTGGGTTGCAGCTAATAGTCTTACATTAGTTTATGTTTGCTAACCAGTGACAGAATCATGATCCCGTTTGTGCTGCCCCTGGGTATAACAATGAGTTTTATGTTAAGAAACCAAGGATATACTGTCCATTTTTACCGTCTTGTCTCTAGCAGTATTTGGCTCTCATTACTTGGCTAGCTGCACTGAAATGGGAAAATCCATCTGTTAGCTGCAGTGTCTGGGTTTGTATAGCACTCCATGAGGTAAATTAACCTCCATAGATCTAGTGTTTCATGTCCTCTTTTAAGTCTGTCGTCTTAGCTTCAATTAACAAAAACTTGTAGTTTATATTTGCAATAGTTGATATTTTAATCACAAGTATTGCGTATGTCTTGTACTCCACAGGCACTCAAAGATGAGATTCAAAACATGCATGGATTGCGAATATTCACTGATGTCCCACAACATTAGAAAAAGTCCTATTTCTGGCCCACAAACCTTTCCTTTGTTCACCCTCTCTAGTATGAATGCACAACTGGGAGGAAAAAAAGCTGTTATGTACTAAACTAATCCTGTGACATAGATGTTAATGTACCAGTGGCAGAAACGCACAGGACCTTATCTGTAGCAGTTACACACTGACAGTGTGAAACATGCATGATTGCTAAGTGAGTTATCATGTACTCTAAGATAATATATTGAACCAATGAAAGCTGTGATACGCACAAAATGGCCTGCTAAATTGTTAGCAAAGTGTCAAGTCATGTAGGCTCTTCCCATTGTGGGGTCTCCTGAGGGCTGATGGTGATGCTGGTGTAATAATGGGCAGTCTCGTAATGGTGGAGAATAGCTACAGACTCTATTTTTAACTGGGGATGGATCTGTTTATGGAGCATTAGTTTGCAATGTCATTAACTCTGACCACAGTCTGTGTTACCGTCTAGCTTAAGATGATTAATTTCAAAATTGGTTACTGGCATTGGATTGTACTTTGCTCCTGTGTTTATGCTACCTATTCCTTTCTAATGTACCTTGCAATAAAAGGAAGCTACTTTTGTTGACTGTTTTGTTTTTGTTGCTTAAATTTAAAAAAAAAATCCATTTATATAAAAAAGGAAATGCGCTCACTATTACTGCCTGTCAAATTAATCTAATATTAATCACGCTGAGGATTAAAAGTGAAAATATGAAGTTTTTCATAACATCTTTGCTGCTGTTGAATGTTGGAAAATGATGGCAGAAAGCAAGTGGAAGCCTTAAACAATAGGCTTAAATCATTTCAGCTGAACCAGTGTATAGCTGAGTGATGGAAGTTCATCGCTCTGATCTGTAGTTCTACAAATCTGTTTGAAAATCTTTCCGCTCCTTTTTGGAGTTTCCTGTTATTTAAGCAGGCTGCCGCAGTTAGCTACGTTAGCAGCTAGCATGTTCTTGAGCTCAGAAATTCAAAGTAGTACAAAAAGTGAATGTCAGACAAGTGTTATTATGGCGTCTTGGCTTCTTCAGGATGTGTAGTAAGCAGTAACGTTTATAATAACTTTATTCATTTTATTATTTATTTATGCTTGGCACATATCATTGGCTTCTTTTTGTGTTTGAGAAATTTTAGATTAAACCTTTTGCAAAGAGGTCCGTTTATAAAAGA